TTAAAGTTTTTTTAATAAAAATTTATTATATTTTATTTTATTTTTTAAAAAATAAGATAAATAGATATTATTCGATCAAATATAACAATCACTTATCTCTTGGTTTATATCACTCGTATGCTTCGATGCAAATGCAGGACTTTCTATCGATCCACTGATAGGAATGTCAACGGGGCTCCGTGGGATCAGGGAGTGCCTCCCCGTTCTCGTCCCCGTCCCCGTGAATGGCGGGGACGGGATCCCCGCGGGGATTTTTGACGGGGAGCAGATTTTGCACCCCGTCCCCGTTCCCCGCAGGGATCCCCATTCCCCACCAATTAATAACAAAGTATATACTTTTTGCATCAAATATAAATAAAAATTAATTTAATACAAATAGAGGAAATCCGGCACAAACATAACCCTTAAGTCCGGCATAGTGCAACAAGCAGAAAGCAAGTCCGGCGCAGTGCAGCAAGCAGAGAGGGGTCTGGCACAGTGCAGCAAGTAGAGAGCAAGTCCGGCTCAGGCAGCAAGTCCGGCGCAGTGCAGCAAGTCCGGCGCAGTGCAGCAAGTCCGGCGCAGTGCAGCAAGCAGTGAGGGTCCGGCACAATTCAGCAAGCAGAGAGCAAGTCCGGCTCAGTCAGCAAGTCCGGTGCAGTGCAGCAGGTAGAGAGGGTCCGGCACAGTACAACAAGCAGAGAGCAAGTTCGGCATAGTGTAGCAAGCAGAGAGGGAGTCCGGCACAATGCAGCAAGCAGCAGAGAGCAAGCCCGGCACAGTGCAGCAAGCAACAGAGAGCAAGTGCAGAGACAAAGTTCAGCAGTCAACAGGATGAACTCCAGCAGATCTGCAGGCTGCAGCTAACAGCTTTGACAGCAGCTCTAGGAGCAGATCTGTAACAGCTCTAGCAGCATATTTGTAGCAGCTCCAACAGCAGATTTGCAGTAGATCTGTAGCAGCAAGAAGGGGAGAGGAAGGTTGAAGGTGAGGTGAGACTTAGAGCTTGATTGGCTGGCTGAAACAAAGAGTGAGTGAGGGGCTGTCTGCGACGTGAGTGAGGACCGAGGAGAAAGGGAGGGGAAATTATCAAAGTTATGAAATTAGGGTTGGAAGGGGGATTAATTAGGGTTACAAGTTGTAAGGAGGATGTTGGATTGGGTTGGCCGGATGGGTTGGCCGGTTGGGTTGGATATTTGGGTTGGATATTTGGGTTGGGTTTGATAAAATTAAATTTTTATTGAATTGGGTTTGGGTTGGGTTTAGGTTTTATTTTAAATATTAAATTAAATTTTAAATTTTTTTTTTAATTTTTCGCGGGGATGGGGATCGCCGCGGGACCCCGCAGAACGGGAAAAATTTCCAGTGAAATTTCACGGGGAGAAAATCTCCCCCATCCCTGTCCCGCGGGGAGGAGTATTCCTCCCCACCTTGTCCCCGTGAAAGGGATCCCGCAGGGCCATGCGGGGATCGAGGGAAATTGCCACTCTTACCCACTGAAGTGGCAGAATCTCTTAATTGTTCAAAACCTAACCGAGTGCTTAACTTGGTCCGTCACCAATCACCATGAGTCCCATTTGCAGCATGGAAGCCGAGTCTTATTTTGTTTATGGGCAATGGCATCAGGATCAAGTCAATGTTGTCGTAAGTAGTCCATCCTGACTCCTGATTCCTAACCCACTTTATCTTGTCTTGAGTTGAAGCCGTCGTGATCTAAGAGGACCGAGAGACCCTACACGCTCAATTCAATTCTGCCTCCCCCGGGTCAAACTGTCCCTCTAGCTGTATTTCTCCGTCACTCAGTGCGTTAACAGCCTCCAAGCACCGCTCCACTGTATACGAAAGAGTACAAAAACCAACGCGTGCTTCTTTGAATATTCTCATTTCGTCTTCCCGTACTAAAGTTTTTTCCACGGTAATAGAATTTGACTTACGCTCCCTTCCCCAGTTCCCCCTATGTAAATATATCAAAGCCTCATCTTGACAACATCACTTTTGTGTGCTGTAAATCCAGGCCAGACCAGATCAGACCATCTCAGAATGGAGAACTTGCTGGGTTTGCTGAGAATTCATGTCAAGAGAGGGATTAATCTTGCTGTCAGAGATGTCACAAGCAGTGATCCTTATGTTGTTATCAGGATGGGCAAGCAGGTAATCTCGGGATTCTAGATTTTTCTCTTTTATTGTAGCTTATGTTCTGAGGCTCTGGATTTCCTTTGTTTCATTTCTTGGGAGATTTTGACTTCTGGGTTTTCTCTGTTCTAATGACTCTGCGTTATGAGTGATTGTGTTGGGTTTGGTCTGTTTAATGGTGGATTCTGTTCTGTCTCAAACTGAATTTAGTATTACAGGGATTCTTTGTCCTGTTCTTGAGTCGAGATCTTTACAATTTTCACTCCACTCAATAATCCTTAATTTTTAGCTAATGTTGGATTTCTTTGTTTTCTCTAGAAGATTCTTATCCAGTTCTAGAGGGGTTCACCTACTACTCTCAATGTTCATCAAATTCTGCAAGCTGTTTTCACCGGAAATTAAAGCATGAATTGTTTCCTTGTCTTTATTTTTGACAAATTGAATGCTAGTTTCTTCATAAATCTTTACAGTATCACAAGATCGGTGGACTGATATATATATATATATATATATATATGTATATGTATATATATCAAAAGTATTGTGCAGTCTGAACTACAAAATACTGAACCATGTGTATGTATGCATCATTCCTGAATTATTCACAACTTTGTGTAGTGGTTGAATTGCGTACATTTGGTCAAACTGATTTTGTAATCGCTGGGAATGGCATGACACGTTAGTTTTCAGGTTTTATTTATTTGGAGTGATAGCAGAAGATGCATGAATCTATTACTTTCTTTTTTTTTCATCTTGGTTGCACAATGGGAGGGAACTATTTCTCATCCCTTATTTCACCTCACCCACATGTCATGCGACTCAAATTTAAGACCTCTTACTTTTAACGAAAGGGATTACCACTGATTTACTTAAGTCGTTCGCTGCATGAATCTACTATTGTTATTCACTTCAACTAAGTCTTCTAACTTTTGACATCTGCAGAAATTAAAGACTGGCGTCGTGAAGAAGAACATTAATCCAGAGTGGAATGAAGATTTAACTCTTTCTATTTCAGATCCAATTCTTCCAGTGAAGCTTGTAAGTATTACCTTTTATTGGAACAAGCTGGTTTATGGTTTATCTTGCAATAGAATCTGAGATTAGTACATTCATTCCTTCAGTGAACATGAAAATCTTGAATGATTGCACTATTCTAGTGAATTTTTAAGGAGATAGAGTATAACAAAATATTGCTGAAGATCCTTCTTTTTTGACTTGGAATAGGAATAAGCGAGATTGAATCTTGTTAATTAGTCGTTGTAGCCTGTCATGTTAAAGTTGATTTGATGCTAAAATTAATCCTTTAAACAGAAAATAGCATCTCCCTGGAATTCTCCGGAGAAAAGGTCTAACAGAAGAATAGATTCATTTGATTATTTTATATTTCAGTGATATTGTCCATTCCACTTTATTTATGAACGAACCACATATTCTGCTGATGTTTACAAAGTGCGTTATTAATTTAAGAAACCTTATTTTGTGATTAGTGAAAATTCTTGTTCTTTTGTACCAAGTAAGAAGCCTTCTCATAATGGCATAACTGGTGTCTGATTGGAATGCAGGCGGTGTACGACAAAGATACATTCAGTCTAGATGACAAAATGGGGGATGCAGAGTTTGATATTCGACCATTTCTTGAAGCTGTGAAGATGCACTTCGTAGGCGTCCCAAATGGTACCATAATCACAAAAATACAGCCCAACAGACAAAATTGTTTGGCTGAAGAGAGCTGCATTGTGTGGTCTAACGGCAAAGTTGTTCAGGACATGTTTCTGAGACTGCAAAATGTGGAGCGTGGTGAAGTTGAGCTCCAATTAGAATGGATAACTGTCCCCGGTTCCAAGGGCCTCTAGATCATGCCTGCTTTCATTCTTATGGCGCTGCAAAGGGACTTCATGCTGGAATTTTTCCATATTTGCTGGAGAATAGTGACACTAAGCTGCGTTAGTCACCTCTCTCCTCGCTATCTATCTATAGGCATGTCAAGTACTTAACCCAGAATGTCTTTACTTGGGTTCTCATTAAACAAGTTTCTAGTTTTGTATCAGAAATTTTCCGATCTCGAACTTATATATGTAAACTGATTGTGTTCGTGGTTGATTTGAATTGTTGTTGCAAAAGATATGACTATTACCCTAACTTAATTTGAAGCAAGGCAAAATGTCCAAATTTACCTTTACAGTTAAACAGTATGATAAATTTATTTCGAATAAAAAAAGGATAAATTTATCTATAAAATTTTTAATTTAGATAAATTATCTCAGATTTAATATATAACATCATATGATGTTATATTTTAAATTTGAAGTAATTTATTCAAGTCCAAAACTTTATAGGTAGATTTATTTTTATTTTTTGTTTAAAGGTAAATTTATTCTTGTTGTCTAATTTTGGGGATGATTTGGGTATATTGCTATTTGAAGCAAATTTAGTTGATTTTACATATGTGGCAATGCCTGGTGTGAATGCTTCAAAGAAATAGATCTACAATCAGGAGGCAGGGTCTTACAGCATGTTTAATTAGGACATCTAAAATTATAAGTTTATAAGATACTTTTAAATTGTTAAGTCATAAATATTAGTCAATCTATTAGTTATCAACTAATAATAACAAGTATCAACTGCTCCTAACAATTAAACTAAAAACAATGATATTGTTATTGTATGGCCATAACCATGAAGAAAATGGAGCTTTATATCAACAATCTCTTCCTCCAAAGTCTTGGAAGGACGAAGGAGAAATTACTTATTTATGAAGTTAAGAGTAAGCTTCTCCACCCAACAAGTCGTTGTAGTATAGTGGTGAGTATTCCCGCCTGTCACGCGGGTGACCCGGGTTCGATCCCCGGCAACGGCGTTTTGCTTCACTTTTTGGGCTCTCTGCCTTACCTTGTTCTGAGTCACTCGTTGGGCACATGGGCTTCTAGCTCCCAACCACAAGCCCATCTCAGCAAAACCCAGTTGTTAATGTTCCTTTTGTTGAGGAGTAGTATTACCATTTATATCTTCATAATTTTTTGATGTAGAGTGCAAGTGAGCATAAATATGCCAATAACATAATACAACTATTAAAGTACAATGTACAAATATATATACAAAATGCAAGAATTGAATTCATAATTTTAAAGATATAAAGTTTCGATTTTTAAATCGTTAATCACTTGACTTGAAATTTTATTGTCTAATATTATATTTATATGAGTTGCTATTGTTGTATATGTAATTTGTTTGGCTTATGAGCCTTATTTAATTTTTTTTTTTTTGCATTTTATTATTTTTATTTTTAAAAATTATTTTGATTATACATATATTAAGTATAATAAGTACATATAAAATTTCAATTGTACAGGTAGATAACAAATAAGTTAAATAAGTCAATTAAATAAGTGAGATAAATAATTTAAAGCCTTTATATTTATTATTTAAATTTTTTTATAAATATATTATTTCTATATTTATTATTTATCTTTTTTATAATTTAAATATTATATTTATCTAAATAGATAAAATATTGACACATAATATAGTTGTACCCATAACTAAAGCTGGCACTTATCTAACACTCATTGCATGAACCAGATTTATATTTGTTCAAATTGACATTTATCAATAAAGGAAGTTCCATACACGCCTAGCTAGGCTAAGTGGTTAACACTTGCCCCTTAGTAGGAATATTATCTAGAATTTGATGTTTGATTCTCCAGATCCTTTTCTCTTATTAGTATAGAAGGAATATTTGTAAAAATTTATTCTTATTAAGAAAACGAAAATGATAAAATTATCAACATTAATGTTTGGGCAGACTGCTATCTTTGGTGGGGATCGAGTTTCTAACAGCTGCACAAAGGCTTGGGTCGGGGCTAAATCACTTCAAACAACATATGGCCCTCACCACGAAAATGTTGTACAAGGAAGCTTGGACCTTGCCCCAGGCCTTGTAGTGCAAATATCTCATTTTCTCTTACCGTTAAATTGTAACCATTCAAAAAAAAAGAAAAAGGAAAAAGAAGGAAGCTTGGAACATGATTTGGTTTATATAATCTGGGCTTTATGGAGTTGGAGGAATCAAAAGTGTTTGGACGGGCACTAGTAGCCTAATTCGGCTGACAATAGGCAGTAAAAACTTTGACTTATATCAAAGTTCAACTCTTCATAGAAACAATTCTCCTCCTTGTCCCCTTTTGAAATAATATCTCTTTTTTTTTCAATTAAAAAAAATGTTTAACTCTATTCCTAGTTTTCTTAAAAAATTTCTCAAATATAGATTATGTTTATAATTTAATTAAGAAATAATCATTATTATTAATTAAATTTGACTTCTTTATTTTTTTTTGTTTAAATTAAGACAATCAAATTATTATTAAAATGGCTTATACATATTTCAAAATTAACTCATCTTCTAATGATTGTAGGAACAGCACCCCTACACTGGCATGAAATGCATTAAAAAAATTAAATTTAATTCAACTCCGATGATACCAAAAAAAAAAAAAAAACCTTCTTACCTTTTTGATGAAATTAGACCATCAGCTTTCCTTGCATTTATCTCATGCTAGTCCCAATTGGGAGCGCTGTAGTACTTTGCTTTCCCCGTCCCTGTGTACAGAAACTTAAGAAGTTGAAATTTCTTGTCAATAGGCCCCCTGAAAGACTGACAATCTACACCAGTGTTTCTGTGATTGTTGTCTTGACAGATTTCCATTTGCGCAACCAGAAAAATGCAAGGCTCTGGGCTCCTTTGGCACTGTTTTGGGTTAGGTAATGAGTTCATGGTATTGGTTCAAAATTTAAGATGATTTAAATTGCACTTGGCCTTCGGGCCAAGCGGTCTTAGTGCTGGTCTTAGTGCTGCCTTGCAGTGCATTTCTCCCCTCTCCCATGGTGGGTTCGATCACTACCCTTGTAAACTTGGTCAAAAAAAAAAAATGATTTAAATTAAAATTTACAAATTTTGATTAAGTTGAGTACAGCATTGGGTCAATTTGAAATAATTAAACTAAAATTAATTAATGTTTTTAATTTTAAAGTTTCTGATAAATTATACTCTTAATTTTAATTTTTAAATATAAAATAAAATTAAATATATAAAATAATTATTATTCATTAAACTATTAAAGTTCATATTAATTGAATAAAATTTTTAACTAAATAACTAATTAATATTTTTTTTAAAAGAAAAATATTGAAAATTTTTAATTTTATTTTTTTAAAAGAAAAATGACTGGTATATATTCAATTCAATATATTTTTTTACACACTTTTGATTCAACAATTAAAAATATAATATAAATAATTAATTTAG